TCAAAAGAGAAATGTTCTAACTTTCATTTATGCTACCTGTTCTTTTAGACACAACCAGAGCTAAAATAGAACATAATAATGAAGAACCCACACCCCTCTCGTGCTAAATTACAGTTTCAGCATGGATAATGTCGGAGAACACATCAGAAAAGGAGGACTAGGGGTAACATGATAGTAGTATTCTAGTATTTGAGGGGCTGCCACAAAGAAGAGGGGGTCAACTTATTTTCCAAAGCTCCAGAGGGCAGGGCAAAAAGCAATGGGTGGAAACTAATCAAAGAAAGAATTAACCGAGAACTGAGGAAAAACTTTTTAACAGTGAGAACAGTTAATCAGTTGGACAGAACTTGCCTTCAGAAGTTGTGGATGCTCCAACACCGAAGGCTGTTAAGAGACTAGATAGCCACTTGTCTGAAATGGCATAGGGTCTCATACTTGAGCAGAGGGTTGGACTAGAAGACCTCCAAGGTCCCTTCCAGTTCTACTCTGATTGATGGAGTTGCAAGACAACATCTGGAAAATAGCACGTCCCGGCCGATAGTATAGATTTCAATATTACATATTGTCCCATCTAGCTATTCTCGTCTTGTACGATACTGGCTATAATATTCCAAATTCAGGATAGGGTTTGTTTCTTTTTAGCCTGGTTATAAATTCAGAAGGAAACGTGCATCTTTTCTAGGACAGCTACTGCTGCCATGACCTACTTTGACGATGTGGGATACGTATGCAGAACACATATGCAAGAACTCTGTGCAAGCACAGGGAGGCTGAATTATTTATGACCAGTCCGTGTTAATGCAGGATTAAAAGAATCTCCTCTATAATTCAAAGGGCCTGGTGGTCCCACACTTGACTCTAGTGCTCCTTGGGGGCCATTTATGCCTAGGTGAGCAGAACTGCGGAACATGGCTGGTTTGACAAGAGAGCGAAGTGGGAAGGGCTCAACCAAAATCAATGTGGTGCCTAAACAGGCACCAATGAAGAAGCAGAAAGATCACAGATGCTGAAAAAAGGTGGGCTGGCTGCAGGAAGGAGTTGTTCTAAAGGAGAGGTGTCCAACCGTGGCAACTTTAAGACTTTGGCCAACGATGGCCCCTTCAAGACCTGTGGACTTTAACTCCCAGAATTCCACAGATCTTAACAGTTGCCAAGGTTGAATACCCCTGTTCTAAAGGGAAGAAACGAGCTTAATGGGAAAGCTTGAGCTTTATATACAAAAGGGACTTTCAATTAAGATGACAAGATAGCAAGTGATAACGACCTATGCAAGCTGGGTCAATGATTTTTTACCAACAATAGGTTGCCTCCTATGTGGGAAAGGACTGAAAGTTACACAGCGATTGTCAGAACACTCAGACAGCAAAGGGCTGGAGAAATATTCTTCTCAAGAGGAAACCTGGTTACTAGTGTAGATGTCAATATGCAAAACAGACCAGTCACACAGTTAAGGAAGTATGTGTGAAAATGTTCAAGAAAAGCAACTCAAAGTTGAACTGACTTCTTCAGTCTTTTATTTACCTTAAGGATGGAACAATAATCTTTGTGTTATATTGGTAGTGATTTTTTTTAATGGTTGTCCCTGCTTCTACACATCTGTTGGCTCAACATACTAAACTACCATGGAGTTTGGTCGGCTTTTGTGAGCATAGTGTGCATGACTCAGGCACTCTGGACCATAAACGCTTAAGACACAGTGGGTAAATGTTAAAAGGTGCTGTCATCCCTTGAGGATTTCTTCTGCTTCCAACGCCTCTTCAAGGTCATGAAACCCTAGATGATGAGATAGAGAAGCAGTTCCTTTTGTTGGTATATAGACTTTGGATCGCTTCTTCCCATTAAAGAATTTTGAAGGCTATCTCAAGCTTTTGGTTCCGACTACTGCCTTTATAACAATGCTTTGCTCTGTCTTCTCTTGTTCTTGATCTTGGGGTCAACACTAAGAGGAGAAGCAGTTGGAGGCCACCACTTCAAAAAGTGGATTTAATGCCACAGGATCTTCTCTTTTGCTGTCTCTTCTTCCCACAAGAAGTTAAGTTACAGGAACAGGTTAGTGACAATAGTCTCTCTGCCCTGCATGGATCTGACAAATACAGAAGGATTTATCCAAGACTTATCATATCCTCTGGATAAACTTGGAGAAGCCACCTTCATTTGGAACTTGAGGAAGCCACTCCATGTACCACGGACAGCCTTCAGGCTAGCCTCCAGCTCTTTGTGGGTTCACACACTTGAGGCCCGATGACACGAAAACCCAAATTAACCGTTGTGGTTTACCATGTGGAAATGCAGCTGCGACAGATAAAGAGCGCATGGACTATAAAAACATCAAGCAGCCCAAATCAAGCTGAAGAGGGGAGCAGCATTTGAAAACTCAACAGGAGATACATGGCCTTTGAACCCTTCTATAAGTTTGTGAAGACAGAACTCTTTTGTGGTGGGGTGTTGTTTTTTGACACTAAATTGTGGCTACTATTGAAGTTGGCACCAGAATTCTGTTGGGTTTATGTTTCTTCGCTATTTTGATTGAATTAATTTTACAAGTCATTTAATGGCCAAAGTTAGAGCGGATCTCCCTCGAGCTACTCATGACCTGGTTATGAAGTTACCATGGCTGAATACGATCCCTTGATCACAATTTTGGGTCCTTGGCAACTGGCTCACCTTTAGAGCTCTTTGCAGCATCCTGTGGTCATTTATTTATTTTATTTTTTATTTTATAGGATTTATATGCCGCCCTTCTCCCTTCATGGGACTCAGGGCGGCTCACAGCATATTAAAACATCNGGAAGGTTAAGAGATCCGGAATCGTCCGGATCTCGGGGGGTAGTTCGTTCCAGAGGGTGGGGGCACCCACAGAGAAGGCCCTCCCCCTGGGGGTCGCCAGCCGACATTGCTTGGCCGACGGCACCCTGAGGAGGCCCGCTCTGTGGGAGCGTACCGGCCTGTGGGAGGGAATCTGCGGCAGAAGGCGGTCTCGGAGATGTGACTACAATTTGCGATATTCTTCCAGTATGTGTGTGTGTGTGTGTGTGTGTATTCCATTTCCAGTTAGTGCTTCTGATTTCCAGCAAAAAAAACACCCATTGAGGAAAATGGATCTGCTAACAATTACCAACCCCCCCCCCCGTTGTAACTTGAAATCTGGTCATGTGATGCCTCAACTTACAACCACGACGACTTACGGCCATAATTCCAGGCTCAATTCCAGTTGTGAGTTGAAGATTACCTGTAGTGAGCTTTTATTGGACTGCAAATGGGCAAAATTTAAAATGATTGCGGAAGTCTATAAATATAATTTTTGTTATGTTAATGTCCTTTGCCATTTACTGCAAACTTCCCAGTGGCAGCAAATGCCACCTCTTTGTTCTCAGCATCTAGAAAGTGCCTTGAGTACAGCAACAAAGCAGCTTCTTCCACAGCCCTGAAAATGCCGGTTGGCTGAGCAATTGTTTCAAGTTGACTAAAAGTTATCATTTATTCATCAAACATTGCTTGCTTGGGACGACTGCAGCCCAACTTGCCTGCTTAATGGAGCAGGTGCCTCCATACAGAACAAGTCCCAGCAGACACAGAGGGAAGACAATCTACGTTAGATCAGGGCAAAATATTCTGGAAACTAGGAAAGAAACAACAGGCCGACTTTTTTTTAAAACAACACATGAAACGTGAGAAAAATGGAAGGGGACAAATAATTACAACTTAGGACCAAAATTAGAAAAAAAGCATCAGCTGTCACATTAAGCCGTGTCTTGCAGAGTCCTACATTTTGTTTAAATCTTAGATGATGCTGATGTGGGTTTGTAGAACGGAAGTCTCGCGAGAGCCCTTGGTGAGAGTGTGTGAATTTTTTTCAACACTTTTTCAGGTATGCAGGTAAGTCCTTGACGTACAACAGTTCATTTAGTGACCATTCAAAATTACAACGGCACAGTTACGACTTTTGCAGCATCCCCGTCATCATGTGATCAAAATTCAGACAATTGGTAACTGGTTCATACTTATGACCGTTGCTGTGCCCGAAGGTCACGTGACCCCATTTTGCGACTTTCTGGCAAGCCAAGTCAGTGGGAAAGCCGGATTCACCTCACAACGGAATTACTAACTTATCAACTTAACAGCTGAAGCAAGAACGGTCGTAAAATGGGGCAAAAGTCACTTAATGACCCACTTAAAAAAAATTGAACTCAATTGTGGTTGTAAATCAGGGACAACCTGTACTAGGCTGATTAACCCACCCCCCTTGAAATGTTTAATCTTTATAGAACTGCAAAGTGCTAAAAATAGAAGCTATCTTTGCCCAATGGAGATAGATTTTTCTTTATGTTTGATACCTGATTTTTTTAAAAAATTGGTAGGAACAGATGTTAAAGTAACAGGCCTGTGGCTTATCTGACATGAAATATACCAGGAGTTAGGTACTGTTGTGGTTTCTCCAGTTATGATGGTATAGACGCCATCAACTTGAAATTTGATTATGTGCTTTTTGAGGGACAACGGCTATTCTCAAAATTTCTTTCCTAATTTTACTGGTAAATGTATTTTATTGATAATTTGAAATTTTGGGTAGGTCTTTAAAGCCAGTGCGGTGTAGGAGTTAAGGCTAGGAGTAAGGAAACCAAAGTTGAGGTCCACCTTTAGATGGGCGGTTTTGAACCATTCATCGTGTCTCAGGCTAATCTATTTTCTCAGGCAAGTCAAGACTTAGAAAGAGGGGAATCTAAATCAATAAACAACACTCCCTATTCCTAACGTCAACATTTTTCCAAATTTTCTGAGCATTTGCATTCTCCTCTTTGGCGGAATTGTCATATACAGATGTATAATCTCCAAGATTATATATATAAATTTTAAAGATTGGTTGAAAACGCACATTCAACTGTAGACCAACGCAGCCCCTTCTCCCACCTCATTTTTCCAGGTAAGCTTAACCAGTGCACTCTGTGACCGAAGAACCAAAAAAAAAAAAAAACTTCCAGGCAACAAAGAATCACACACCACAGAGTACAATTCATATATTATCCAGTTTCACATTCTCAAAGGATATAGCAACTTATTCAACAATCTTAATACAAGCGAGACAGCCATGGTTCAATGTAATACTTAAAGGACTTCCAAATACCAAGCAATAAAATATCAACAAAAAAAAAATTAATTGTGCAATTTCTCGTTACTATGCCCGACTGAATCAGTTACAGAAAAAAAAGTCGTTCTCTTCAAGCTTTTTAACTAAACATTAAACTTATCTTACAGATTACAGTTTTTTTCTTTTACTCTTTAATAATTAATTGCACAAAAACCACACAAAATCTTTGCATGATGCATAAATATTTCCTTATTACACATGGTACAAAAATACTCGTACATCTTTGTTCGGTATTCCCATAAGGATTGCTGATTTGGCAAGACTGGATTCTTTCCAATCCGAGGGATGTGGAAGAAAAAGGTGAAATATTGTACAGCTGTTCTACATGTAGAAGTTTGACAGAAAAAAATAATAATAACAACAACAAAAATCCCCAACGACCCTGACAAACTGAGGAAGGGCAAAATGGAGCAGAAACCCAGTGCATTGTACTTTGGAGAAGAAACCTTTTTATTTCAAATTCTAGTCAAAGCTGAACATGGAAAGATATCCTGGAGGAAGAGGAAGAGTAGAACAGGAAGAGAGAGAAGACGAAGTGTTTTTTCAAAAGCCAAGTCTTGACAGAAGCAAAATGAAAGAAAGTTTAGTGATCAATAGTTAATCCAAGATCTACTGCTATGGTTACACAAATGCTAGACCAAAAAACGAGCTTTGCACACTCACACACCCACACCAAGTTAAAGTGTTTTAAAAGTCATGCCAGAGAACATGCAAAACTGATTTGTCTTTTTTGCTTCCTTCAGCAAAACTGCATACACAAGATTCGGGATAAGAAAAGTCTGGATATTGCACCGTACACAGCTAGGCCACACTGCGTGCCAGCATCCCAGCTGGGAACACACACGTACACGCCCGCCCGCACCCAGCGGGTGTATCAACAAGGTTGAGTTTCTCCTGAAAGGACTCAAGGTAGCAGGAGGAGAAACTCGGCAACAGGAGGGTAGTGGGGCTTAGCAGATTGAGGGGGGAGGGGAGAGTTGGGAGAAGGGCAGCCATGACACCAGGGAAGAGACGGAGGAGATGACGTTCACAGTTTTGGAGGGGGAAATCCATAGCTTCATTCATAAGACGGCCAAGTGAAGTTGGGCACTTTGATGGTGTCCACGGAAAAGGCCGAGAGAGGAGGCTCTCAAAGACTCCTTCATCCTTCATGCATCAGTCCATGGAGAGACAAGAGGGGAAAACGTGGGCCAAAAGCAGCTCTTGGGGAGAAAAAAGCGAGAGAATATATTATGAAGGCTAACTCCAGATGTCTTTTATCATAGCTCCACCAGCATGCATGGAGAACAGCATCTACCACCAGCTTCCCAGGTCGTTGTCTTGCCAGAGGGCATTCACCTTTCACTGGCTGAAAAGAACCCCACTATAGAAGATCATGTCTTCTCCACCCCGCACCCAGAGGCATTGCAACTGATATACTCACTAAAACTAACAGAACTGACGGGATTTCCATCCTTGTTGGCTAGCGTCAGGAGGGTACCAGCGCATCTAGAAGAAAATGATAAGAGTGTGATATGGGAGGAGTACGATGGTCAACCAACCAGGCAGAAACACTCCGCCTAGGATACATTTGTTCCCAAGGCTCAATGGTCCTCAAAAAAAGAAAAAAAGAACTATCAACTCGTTGCTTATATAGCTTTCATAGTACCAATGGTTCTTTTGGACTGCAGAAGCTCTCCTTGTCCCTCACCTCATAATGAATTTCTTCACATGTCAAAATAATAGATTAGCTATAAGGAGAACATTTTTAAGGCCTTGAAGTCACCTCTGAGGTGATTCCAAAGTTGGACATATGGCAGCTGTATCATACTAGGTCATCCAGAAACATTCAAGGTTGTCTAGTCTTCTACTCCCAACTCCCCTTATTACACCCAATTCATATTCTATCACTATCACTATTATTATTATTATTATTATTAATAATAATAATAATAATAATAATAATAATAATAATAATAATAATAATAATATTCAAGTGCATCGCTTGTCAACTCTTTCCTGCACCTTCTCCTCCTAGCTTTCAGCACGCTGGGCCTAAATCCCATCCATAAGCCCACCTACAGGGAAATATGTTGAGTCCTGCACTTTGTGAAGAAAAAAAAAGCAGGGTCACCAATGCAACACGCAAGGCTTTAGTGTTTTAAGTGGTCTTTAAGAAGGAACCAATGGATGTGATTTGGTTGGCCTGCCATTTCCATGTCATTTGGGCCTAGGTAAAAGCCCTCGCAGGTAAACTCCCTTTTCCTAGATAGACAGGAAGCAAAACCAGATGAGCTAATCCTACTTCATCGTAAGGCCTCATTAACAGAATCTTGAAAATCTGAAAGTACAAAACTCCCATTGTCTCCTTCTCAAACGGAGAAACTAGAGAGGGTCACTTCTGAGTCTCTCTCTCGGCCCATTGTCCAGTTGAGGGCTAAGCTGTCTCTTTATCAGACCGTTCCTTAGCAGCATTTCACCACCTGTTTCTCAAGGTCTTCTGACATACTATTCCAGACACAAAGAAAAGGTGATTAAAAGGAAAAGTTCCCATCTTATTATCATATCCTTAAATCTCCTTTTCTCCCAATTCTTTGCTCTACATCAGGGGTAGTCAACCTTGGCTCTTTTATGACTCGTGGACTTCAATTCCCAGAATTAGCTGGCTCAGGAATTCTGGGAGTTGAAGTCCACGAGTCATAAAAGAGCCAAGGTTGACTACCCCTGCTCTACATCATAACTTTGCTAACTGTTGGCTTTCAGAGTTATTTTTCCTTGGGTGAACATCCTTCAAACAGCCGTATCTGTACTTCTTTGCTAATAAATGCTCCTGTTTACAGCTGTTCTTTGTTTTTCTCCTATCCCATAATTATCAGTGCATAATCATAGGGCTGATAGTCTTTGCATATTTTTTTTAAAGATGTATGGGCATTTGGGGAGAAAAAATTAACACGTATAATAGAACGACTACGATGACCATACTTTCTTTGGCTCCAGTTTGCTTCAGCTCTCTGCTTAAGCCCATCCAACGTGGTTTGCTCAATAACATAATACCAGCCCAGTCCCACAGCTGCAGGGTCTTTGCAGGCTGCCTATCTGAATGCTTTGCTTCCTTCAGGAAGATCAAAGCATCCCCAACAGGCTGCCTGGACTACGTTCAAAGAAGTCCAAGCCCATCGGTTTCCAAGCAACTGGTCCCATCTTTGACTTGTTCCACTGTGTAAGTTTCTCCTAAAGTTCAATCAAAGTCTATCTCGCTGGAACACAAATCCTTTCAATCTAATGGCTCTTTATGGAAGATCTTCAGAGTTTTGGACTTCATGCTGCTAAGTCTGCTCTTGTCCTTATTCTATATTTGGGTAGAAAGGGCTGATTAGAACCTATGATTTCTCCCCACCCCCCAATTAACCAGGGTTATCTAGAGCCAGAGGAATTAGATTCCAACCAAACTGCTCCAAGAAAATAACTCAGCACTAATGTCAGTTAAGACATTATTTCAAAATCTCAGTCTATTTTGCAGAATTCGAGAACTCTAGCCCTTGTGAATTACATTGCATTTGCTTCCATTTTTAATTCAGTTCTTACATCACTGGAAGGGAACACTGTTGTTAGTGTGGACTGGGGTTTAAGGAAATGGCATATCCTCAACATGTTTTTAATAGCTCTTCATAGTTGTTAAAACACAACCCTAAATGAACTTTAGTTTGAGCATGTAACACGTATAGGAACTTTATAACCTCCTATTGCAAACTGCCAGGAAGATTGTAGCCACCCACGCTCTAGTTTTCCTTAAAAAAGGGAGATGTTATTAATCAGTTTGTGATCAGCACTTGGTACTTTTCAAAGCATTTCCAGTGATACTTTTTGGATCCCGAGAAGCACCTTTTGGTTCAGAGGTCCAGGAATTTTCATCCTTGTATCATTTTTCACATATTTGCCAATCATCAACCATCTCCCCAAACTGAGGAGACATCCATTTGATAGCCACCAGCATGTTATGGTTTTACATCGGCTTTTTGGCTCTCTCCTCCCAACTGTGGTTCAAAAACACTTCCCGGATTCCTAAATCCATCTCCCCCGCACATCTGGAATCAGTTTTGGCCATTCAGCTTCAGCAGCTGAGTGAGAGAAGGATTCGTCCCGGCCAACCGGTGTGATGCTCTTGAGTGCTATGGTGGCATTCAAAGGAAGCACCTGGGAAGACAAATGTCTATGGAGATTCTCAGCCCTACAGCTCATGGTTGTCCCAAAGGTGCTTTTTCAAGAGGCATCAGGGACTTCCTTTGTTTCTCCTTGAAGACATTTTGCTTCTCATTCCAAGAAGCTTCTTCAGTTCTGACTGAATGGTGGGGAATGGAAGGATTTAGTCATTCAGTCAGAACTGAAGAAGCTCTTGGAATGAGAAGTGAAACATCTTCAAGAAAAAACAAAGTAAGTCCTGTTGTCTCTTGAAAAAGCACCTTTGGGACCTGGGAAAACAGATGCCCTCAAGCAGATGCCACTTCCTCCAACGAAGCTTCTCCCCAACAGTTTCTGAACACATACAATAATTCAATAATTCAACCCACCATACAATGCTTTTTTAGTCCATTTCTTACCTCTGCACACAAGTAATCAGTTCTAAAACAAAAAGGATCTTGTTTTAGACACCTATCTCCAGCCCTGCCGTAGAAGAGGCATTCCCCCCTCCCCAGGTGAAGAGAAGATGCCTCTCCTTAAGGTGGACGGTTGCAGTTTTCACTGCAGATGTAAAATTCTGCTGCTCAGTCAGGCCACTCTTGGTTTCAAATATTGTCACTGCTAGACCCCTTCCAATCATTACTTATTCCACGGTCCCTTAATGTACACATTGTACCAGATTGTTTACATTTCCTTTTTCCGGTATCATGCCATCAAGTCAGAATTTTACTCATTTTGGAAGGAGGGGGAGAAAGAGAGAGAGGGAAGGGAAGAAGAGTGTGAAAGGAGATTTTTTTCCCAGATTCCAGCCAAGGAAGGGGGTTCCCCCTTCCCTGGCGGAATTCATAGCGTGACTGATATGTGCCAGTTGACTGTGTGGAAAAAATTAAATCCATTGTGTGCTGTTGCTACTGTTGTTACTACTACTACTACTACTACAACACCCGCCCTCCCCAGCAGGTGAGTGTGGTGAGTGAAACAAGGTGGTCGGGAGGCCACCCCCACCCCCGACACCGCCAGGTGACAGGAAACCTTCATGAGTGGTTCCTTTCTCTCTCTCCCCCCCCCCAGGTAGGATAAACCCATCGGTGCTCCGTGGGGAGCCCTCTGAATATAAGAAGTGACATGCTGTGGTGCCCGTATCATATGCGCCAAGTTGGGCAGAGGTGGGTTAGAGAAACGCCTGTTTTTTCACGTTGCTTGGGCTATGGGTGGGTGAACAGCGTGGAGGCCCATGCATTGGGTTGCTAAGGAACAGATGGGGCAAAAACAAAATAAAAGGATAAAGCTTGCGGAAAGTTGAAAAAAAAAAAAAAGAAGAACAAAACAACCCACTGTGCCCCAAATGGCAGAGAGATGTTTTCGTCTTACCAGCCTGTTCCAGACGGGCCCATCCTGAAAGGCCTCTGGGAATGAAGCTGTTCTACAGCTACTCCAACTTTAGCAGGGGTTAGTCAGGACTATGAGGTCCCACCTTTCCAGGGCCAGCTCTGAGCTTCAGGGCTAGCCTGCGTAGGCATCCTGGCTGCAGGTCACTGAAGACATCAAAGGAGGGGTCATTTCAACCAATAGCTGGCCATTGTGGGAGCCCCTCGGGAGGGGGGGGTAAGAGGCTTCTTTCATTGGTAGAGCCCACTGAATGTGACCAGCAGACTCTGCTGTGGAAGATTCCTAGGGTGAGGTCAGGGGTGGGGGAACCGATCCCGAGAGGCAATAGACGTTATGAGTTTTCAGTCCCCATAGTTCATTAGAACAAGGTTCAAGGAATCTCCATCCTTGGAGCTTCTCTTCCTGGGGGACCTGTGGACCTCCCTTGCCTAGACACTTCTCAGATCATTGAAACTGGGGTATTTTTTTTTTTCAATAGAGGAAAAATATCAGTACTCTAGATGACCTAACTAGCCGAACCTCCCTTGAACATGCTTGTTTTTCACCAGCCTGTTGTCCTTCAGATACATCAGCTTTCAATTCTCATTGTCCTTAGCCAGTCTCTTCCCATTCCAAACATCAGGACACTACCAGGATCAGGGTAGATTAACCCATTATGTGCAACCTATCCACTGGCTGATTCATACATTGTACTGAGTCATAGAATGGCTTGCTCTGAGCTGACAGTATTTGTCAACGTAGTCACCAAACCTTTTCAGACAAGTTAAAACAAATCATGGCTTAGTGAGTTTAGCCACCGGTTGGTTGGGATTTACTTATGGAGCAATTAAAAAAATACAAAATAATTCAAAGATCAGGGTGTCAATCCGTCTATATAGACATGACAGCTGGGTCAGATCATAGGAGTGTTATCCTCCATAAAGCATCACTTAGGGTCTTCAAGGAAATGGATGACCAAGAGTTTGCACCCAAGAGTTGTCCATTTCATTTCCTTCAACTCTGACCCATAAACAACCTCCCCATTTGCTATACCGAGCAGCAATGAAACGGAACTCAATTGATTAAACACGTAGCAGAGGGGTTAAGCAAATATCCCTGTTACGCTCCTGTCGAAAAATCAAGAAAACGATTCTTCCATTATTTCGTGAAGACACCGAAATTTCAGCCTGCGTGGTGGGTGGAGCTCTGAGCTGCCTGTTGCTTAGTAAGTAGAGTGAAGTAATGTTTAACTCAAAAGACTTTTATGAGTAACACATTCATTTGCTTTAAAGGACAAACCTGCAGACTTCAGCCTGGAAAAATCTTATTTCTTAAGTGGAGAGAAGAAAAAATCGCAGCGCCAAGAGTGAGAAACACAGGACCTGCCGATGGCCTTTAACCGGCATGGCACTGTTTTGAGGCCCAGTCTTTAAATTTTGCATGCTCGGTCTGCAAAGCTCGTCCTTTGCAACCCCCTATGTTTAGCCAACAGTCACTATAAACTCTGCATCGTTTCTGCAGGACGGTTCTGCGTTCTCTAAACAGCGGGCCAGGGAGATGTAAACATATAAGTGAACATGGAGAGACTTGTCAGGAATGACGCTTGTCCAGCGTTCTTTTATTAAAGAAATGGAAGCAAGACCATTCTCCAGACTCTTTTGAAAAAGTGGAACTTTTTTTTTTTTTACAAAAAAAAGCTCCTTTCTCATCTCTTATCTGCGTTTTGGTTTTTTTTTTAGATTTTAATCCTAAAACAAGGATTGTTTGTAATGGCATCCATGTGCTTGTACACACACCCACACGTAGCTTAGGGAGTCTTTTTGAGGTGAAGCTTCTAATAAAATTTTTTTGCAATCAGGAAATGAATGTGGATTTACTAAAATTCCCCTTAAGGGATAACTCTGACTTCATGGAATCAGAGAGAGAGAGAGAGAGAAAAAAAATTATAATCTGTAAAAACAGTTATTTATTCCCCCCTTTGGACATTGTGCATTTTATCTATTTTACCCTGGTTTGTATACATTCTCATGGCTTGGTCACCATGCTAAACTATGTTCTTTCTTCCTTAAAATGTCTGCAGAGCAATGCATCCTTAATTCCTCTGATGGAGGAGAAAGGAGTCAGACCATACAAGAACAGACTTTCTTGTATTGGCAGCAGAACCAAAATTAACAGTAGTTTAAAGGCTTTTGGAGGGAAGAAGTTCAAGCTGACTTCATACCATTCTTTGCCAGATTGAAAGAGGCCTTGTTCTCAACAGGGAGCTCCTTGGATCGGACAGTATCCAGAAATGGAACATGACCGTCTCCTTCTTATTCATCCCTCCAACTGTGGGGTCACCTTCCTGACTTCTCTTCCTTTGAACTTGAGAAGGTCAATCCTTTTCGCCGCCCCCACAAGAGGTAAACATGGGTTGACTTTCCCGTCAACCGCTATTTGGAACGGGATCAAAATGCTCATCCTGGTACAGTCTGAGAAGTTAAATAAAGGAATTCACTTTTGTTTCTCGAGGGGCAGATTCAAGTCCTCCGTCCTGTTGGAATAGGGCAATTCATTCGGTGCTAGTGTTCTTTTAGTGCTTGGATTCCTTTGGAGCAGGATGTCCAACCTTAGCAACTTTTAAGACCTGTGGACTTCAATACCCAGAACTCCCCAGCCAGGATAGCATAGCTGGCTGGGGAATTCTGGGAGTTGAAGTCCACAAGTCTTAAAAGTTGCCAAGGTTGACATCCCTGCCTTAGAGGTCTGCTTAGTTAATTTCCTCTAAAAAAAAAACCTGCTTGAGAAGCAGAGGGGAATGGCAGCCCACTGTTTTCCTCAATTTTAAGGCATATTTGGAGGATCGAAGCTTTCTCCCTGAGGATGCAGGCTATTTTGGGTTAAGAGGGGAAGAGTCTCTTGGGTCCTCCACTCTCCACCCACTTATCCTGGGAAGAACCCTCTGCAGGAAATAGTCTTGAAGCAGAGATGTTCCGTCCCTAGCAAGAAGGGGTTTCACACCAAAAGAAAAAACAACAACATTCAATTGTGAACTCACCTGAGCGTGAAGAGCAGCGGCCGCAGCTGCAGCAGCTGGATAGGTGAAAGCTGCATGTGGAATGGCCGGGGTTAGCTCCGTGGTGTACAGGGGGTAGGGAGCCCATGCTTCTGGAGATGCTGGGATCAGGGCAGCTCCAGACAGATCATCTAGAAGAGGAGAAGCAGCAGCAGGTCAGCCATTCTCCCACTGGGAAGAAAGCCAGCATGGAGCACCTTACAGCACCCAGGGGAAAAAGGAGGACAGGTAGAGGAAAGACAACCTCAAAGTTGGTGCAGAAAGCTTTGGAGCCTAGCACCATTTTTTGAACTTGGTCTTTGAGAGCTACAGGAAGTTCAGCTTGTGATGTCACAAGATGGGTGAACCCAAAAGTATTAACTCTTTTTTTGGGCGGAATGATGGCATTTGGCAACATCTGGAAATGCGGTGGCTGTCTGCGCATGGTCCAATTGATAGAAATGAACGAAAAAATAAGCGATTCATGCAGGCATCTTCAACAGCCCGTCCCGGACCCAAACATCCTCTCCCCAATTCTGCAGGAAGGGTCTCCCACCCAGCTCTGCTTAGCCACCACCCTGCAAGACTGGCCCAGTACAAGAAGAACTGTCCTATTCTGTTCATAAACCTCCCGCAATGTAGACTTTTGACATCTCACAACATCAGGAAATGTTTGTCGCCTGGGGGCTACTCTTTAAGAGGTGGTCCTTCTGAACAGCATGAGGATGCCAGGTGAGAATGACCAGCTAAGGTCAGGTTTCCAGGGCTTACTTTGTGTTTGAATTAACACTACTCTGTCACTGAGTTCTAGCAACTGTGTTCCAAGGAAGCTCTAGTAGCCAGAAGCCAAAGTATTGGAGAATACCAGGGAAGCCACATCCTAGGGCAGGGATAGGCAACCTTGGCTCTTTTATGACTTGTAGACTTCAACTCCCAGAATTCCTGAGTCAGCTTTGCTGACTCAGGAATTCTGGGAGTTGAAGTCCACGAGTCATAAAAGAGCCAAGGTGGCCTACCCCTGTCCTAGGGGTTGGGGAAGAGCATGCAACCCAAGGACTCAAGAGTCCTCCCATTTGCACCAACTATGGAAAGTGAATTTAGGGTTTTCTCATGCATGTGGAAAAAATAATGCAAAAACATCATTGTGGGACCCAGAGGTACTTTTCCAAAGGCAACTAGACTTTGTTTTGGTTTTTTACTTAAAAATGTTTTGCTTCTCATCCAAGAAGCTTCTTCAGTTCTTAGTGAATGGTCAAAACTTAGTCAAAACTATAGAAGCTTCTTGGATGAGAAGCGAAACGTTTTTAAGTAAAAAAAACCAAGAAAGTCCAGTTGCCTTTTGAAAAAGCACCTTTGGGCAGCCGAGACTAGGATGACTGACAATCTCCATAGACATCATAGTGGGGCACAGTAGGAATGTGCACACGGACACCTTCGCATGCCTTCCCAGAGACCCCCAACCCCAACCCCCCCTTCTTGTTTGTTGACTTTCCCCTCTTGCTCCTCACAAGGATCTCGTGCAATGAAGTGTGCGCCTAGGGCTGGGTGGAGGTTGGTGGGGTTTGGTGTGGCCATCAGCTTGCTTTTTGCCATCTTGGTGTTGGCCTTAGCAAACTCTAACCGCAGCGTCTGGGGATTCTCTGGGTCGAAGCGGATCCCCTGCAGCAGAAGGACAGGAGGAGAGGTTACAAGAGTGGGAAGAAATTGCATTTACTTGTCTGTCTGTCTGTCTGTCTCTCTGTCTGTCTATCTATCTATCTATTGTTTGTTGCATCTATCTATCATTTATCTATCTATCTATCTATCTATCTATCTGTCTGTCTGTCTGTCTGTCTATCTATCTATCTATCATTAGTTGCATCTATCTATCTATCTATCTATCTATCTATCTATCTATCTATCTAATCTATATCTATCATTTGTTGCATCTATCTATCTATCTATCTATCTATCTATCTATCTATCTATCTATCTTATCTATCATTTGTTGCATCTATCTTTCTATCTATCTATCTATCTATCTATCTATCTATCTATCTATCTATCTATCTATCTATCTAATCTATCTATCTATCTAATCTATCTATCTATATCTATCATTTGTTGCATCTATCTATCTATCTATCTATCTATCTATCCATCCATCCATCCATCCATCCATCCATCCATCCATCCATCCATCCATCCATCTCCATACACACACACACACACACACACACACACATACATACACATATCCACAGGTGAGTGATTAGTGGAACAACAGTACAACTGATTAAGAAAACAGCAATAGTATTGTGCTTGTAAAGCATGGATGAAACTGGGCCTTTCTTAGAATTGCTCAAAAATCATTTTTTTTCTCCCTTTTTTTGTCTTAAAACCCTATTAAGGCTCTGGACACCTATTCTGTACTTCAAATCTACCCCGCCCCCCCAAAAAAGCAAAAATTCAGACCCAACCACTTGCATGTGCCTGCTGTGGTCAAAATATTTAAATTATATGGGGCTCACCCTCCACCTCCCACACTGTTTGCCAATTTCAATTTAGGGTCACCAATATGCTTATGGAGAAGCAACCTTGCCTTCCAGGTACAGGACAATAAAGACTTATTATTTATTAAATCTATTTGCCACTCATCTCGGTACACCCCTCCTCTTGTATCATCAGTTTAATAATATCCATGTGAAAAGCTGCAGAGTGTTTGACTGGATATACAATCTCCGAGGTGGTTTATTATCACTGCTGCAACAAATTCTGTGTTAACTTAAGATCATCTTCCTTTTCCTGTAATGCAGTGTTTCTCAACCTTGGTAGCTTTAAGATGTGTGGACCTCAGCTCCCAGAATTCCCCATGGCTGTCTGGAGCATGGCATGACACGGGTGGTTAGAGAATTATGGAAGTTGGACCATATATCTTAAAGCCACCAGGGATGAGAAGCACAGCTGTGACAGATGTTGACTTACTGAAATCATTTAGAACACTGCTTTGCCATCTTTTTAGTTTAGGAGTCAATGAAAATGTTTAGTATAATCTTCCCATTTACTCCTCTCTGACACTGGTAGCCAGTGTGTTTGTGGTTCTACCCACTTGGTCCTTATCAGCTCTATTGTCCTGTGTTTATGACACACAACCATTGAGTAGCAGGAAAAAGACATCTCCCGTCAGTCAGGGTGACTAAGAAAGGAGCAGAAAAGATAGGGTAGTTTTGCCCTCTGTGTTGAACTGGGGCCATCGCCCTAGGAGCTGAGCAATTAGCAAAGTTCGGACGTTTTGTGAGCACTGATGCCACAAGTATTAATACTCACATTCAAAGCATTCTTTGCAGCTTCTGCACCAGAACGGCTGTCGAAAGTAACAAAGCCTACTGGCTGGAAAGACAAATACTTTGAGCTACATGCATGTACATAATCCTGATTGCAGAAACAGAACTCAAAGGATGGTGAAGAAAGCTCTCCTATGAAGCCCACCAAGAGTACGTCTACAGGGTACTTATAGAGCAGTGATGGTGAACCTTTTAGAGACCAAGTGCCCAAACCGCAACCCAAAACCCACTTATTTATTGCAAAGTGCCAGGGCTGCATCAGCATTGTGGTGCCCTCAGGGGGAGGCGGGGAGGCGCCTCTGAGTGCCGCCTCTGGCATGCAAAAACTGGGGGTGCAAAAATGGACCACCGTGCTGCAAGGCGCAAAAACGGCCACCGCCGCACCACAGGGTGCAGATACAACGCGCTGCACCACACAAGAACAGGGCAGGGCTATTGAGTATCTCGCAGGCACTAGCCCCATCCCATTTGCAGTGCATGCGTGCTCGTGGCCCATGTGCGCACGCACGCATGTAAAATGCTTCCCCCTCCCTTTTCTTCCAGTCCACCAATTGACAATAGTTGGTGCCCTCTGCTCTATCACCTCTACTTGAGCTTGCTAGTCGGCCACTTCGCCTTTGTGCTGGGCGGGGCTCCTGCTCCGGGCGGCGGTGGCAACCTGTTGGACCTGCTGCTGGTGGCCGTGGCGCGCGTGCCAACAGAGAGGGCTCTGAGTGCCACCTCTGGCACGCGTGCCATAGGTTCGCCACCACTGTTATAGAGTCTTCATTCATCTCTGGAAAAGCCACCAAACAGGCAGCCTGCTAAAAAATCTGGAGCCCCAGATATATTTCTTCGTTTACATCGAGTTTCCATCTCAGCCACGTGTTATTCCTTACAGCCACCACCCCATGCATTGTTACCTTTCCCCAGGCAGGCAGAAGAAACAGCCTTTAACCTGTGGCCCAACTGGTTAAGGATGAAGCACCATCACTTGTATGGGTAGCTTTTCCCAGAACAGGATCCTCCGGAACAGATATTATTGGAGTGCAACCACACATCTGGAGGGCACTGCGTTGGCCAAGCCAACTAGAACAACACTACGTGATCTTCACCAGATCTGGTGCCAAAAAGAAGCCCAGGTAGATGGGCTATTTTGCTAGCAAGTAGAACATCTCCTCTAAGGATGGGTCTCTCACTGCAGAGGGGATGATCTAGGACACTGTTTCCCAAGGTTGGCAATTTCCAGATGTGTAGACTTCAACTCCCAAAATTCCACAGCCAGCACAGCCATTGATGAGAATTCTGGGAGTTGAAGTCTACGTACCTGGAGGTTGCCAAGGCCTGGGAACACTAACCTAGCTGGCCAGCCTTTGGACAGGTGTTTTGGATTGCTTAATTGAAGCATCAGTATAATCCTGCAAGGTTCCTTGCCCTTTTCCCTTAGGACAGGGGTGTCAAACTGCCGGCCCGTGGGCCGGATGCATCATAGCAAAACCGTGCCCACCCCATAGCCGGCAATGGCTAAAAAGTTGCGATATGTCGCGACATGTCACGTGACATTGTGAGTTTGACCCCCCTGCCTTAGGAGGTGAACTGGTCCTTGATTTAAGCTGCACTAAGTGGCTGCCAGAACAGGAGTTAAGGAGAGGCATTACCTGTTTGGATGTTAGTTTGATCAGTGATCCTTCATAACCCTAGAGAGAGGAATCAGTCAATTAATTATCAGTTGCCTTGAAACAGGAAAATAAAAAAAATAGCAAGGTCGTTTTGAGTAGCACACGTCTCTGGTGGACCTAAGGAACAATTTAAACTAAAATGCAGTTACTACTCTGACCATATCCCCCCCCCACACATACACATTTGTCAACTATTGTGTTTTGCTAGTTGTAATACAATTGTGTAACACAATCCTTGGTGTTCTCTGAGCTTGGTTGTTTTCTTGCAGACGTTTCATTACCCAACTAGGTAACATCATCAAATGTCTGCAAGACAGCAACCAAACTCAAAGAGCACCAAGGACTGCACAATTCAGCCTGAACTCCATGCATTTCCTTCTACTGTAATACAAATTTCAAGCAAGATTCCCTTCTGTAAAAAGACAAAACATTGCTTAATCCAGGGGTGTCAAACTCAATTTCATTGAGGGCCGCATCATCATTGCGGTTGCCTTGGGGGGGGCGGGGGGTGTGTGGCCAGGGGGGGCGGCCTATTGGGTGGGCATGGCCAGCTCTACATTGTTTGCGTCAAGGGGGCCTGGGGGGGCCTGGGCAGGAGTGGGACAGATCTGAGGGTCTCTGGCAGAAGGGGGTGGGACCGGGGCAAGCGCCAAGGCATGGTCCATTTCTTCATTCCTCACAAAGGGTGACACCTCCCAAGCATGCACCCAGGGGGCGGGGCCGACGCAGCAGGGGCTGGTTCCTCGCTGTTTCTAGATGGCCTTGTGGAGCTAAGACTGAATGCCTTTCAGCATAGATGGCCACCACAAAATTCTACATTGGCTCCCTCCAGCCGGCCTGGGCCAGGGCCAAGACAGCGGGGGCCGTTCCCTCACTGTTTCCAGGATGGCTTCGCGGGCCTCATGAAACCACTTTGCGGGCCACATCCGGCCCCCGGGCCTTGTGTTTGACATGTCTGGCTTAATCTATATACTAAAGAATGTAGAGTCGGTAGGAAGTGGCCGCTTCCGACTGAATCAGACCAGTGGGTGGATTTGGTTCTGCATCAGTTACGCCAGAGGTGGAAAGCAAGCACCCTCCAGATATTGCGAACTAGAATTCCCAAATATGTCTCCTTGTTGCTCTGCTATGGTCTTTGGGTTGGAGACGAGTTGTAGTTCAGAAACGTCTGGATGCTGTCCCTAGATTCCAGCAGATTATGGAACCAGGGTATGTTGGGGTCCTTTCTCTTTTCTTACATAAGATTAATTGTATATTTGGGACTTTAGTAAGCAAAGCAACAGGGCTGATCCAACAGCATGGATGTGACTCAAGGCAGGACAACTGAACTTTGTGGAAACCTGGGACAATCTTAGTGGTACCCCCCGATGGGATTCCTTTTCAGCCTTCTTGCTGATGTCTTAAGAGTCAGCTTGGAACCTTCCTTGACTTACAGGCATTTGTGTAGGCCAGGGGTGGGCAACCTTGGCTCTTTTATGACTCGTGGACTTCAACTCCCAGAATTCCTGAGCCAGCCACGCTGAGGGGAAAGGGAGAGGTTTCTAAGCTGAGCCATGCCGGCTCAGGAATTCTAGGAGTTGAAGTCCACGAGTCATAAAAGAGCCGAGGTTGCCTACCCCTGGTGTAGGCACTGAAAAAAATGACTTGTGATCCTTTTTCACACTTATGACCATTTCAGCATCCCCATGGTCATGTGATCAAAATTCAGACGCTCCTATTTAAGACGGTTGCAGTGTCCCAGGGTCACCTGATCCCCTTTTGCTGCCTTCTGACAAGCAAAGGTCAATGGGGAAGCCAGATATACCTAACAACTACGTCACCGAGTTAACAACTGCAGTGATTCACGGAACAACCTGTAGCAAGAAAGGTTGCAAAATGGGGCAAAACTCACTGAACGACTCTCTTGCTTAGCAGCAGAAAAAATTGGGCTCAATTATGGTCATGAAGTTGAAACTCAAGTACTTTGGCCACCTAATGAGAAGGAAGGACTCACTGGAGAAGAGCCTAATGCTGGGAAAGATGGAGGGCAAGAGAAGAAGGGGACGACAGAGAATGAGGTGGCTGGAGGGAGTCACTGAAGCAGGAGGCGTGAGCTTAAATGAACTCCAGAAGATGGTAGAGGACAGGAAGGCCTGGAGGAATGTGGTCCTTGGGGTTGCGATAGGTCGGACATGACTTCACAACTAACAACAACAAATGGTCATAGCTCAAGGACAACCTGCATGTTGAGAAGATGATCCACCATTGGACAAGAGGACCTCCCCAGTTAGACCCAGACATTGGCCTTTTTGTTCTCGCTCACCTTAAATGGCCGGAAAAGGAGGTACAGCTCTCGTGGCTTGATGTCCACCGGAAGGCCGCTCACAAAGAGGGTCCGTACCTGGGGGGGATAGAGAACCACATGTCTCAACAGAGTTGAAGATCATTGGATAGTAAGTTGTTAGTCACAACAGTTCATTTAGTGACTGTTCAAACTTACGCCGGCACTGGAAAAAATGACTTATGACCCTTTTTATACTGCATCCAGTTTTGGTCACCACGATGTAAAAAAGATGTTGAGACTCTAGAAAGAGTGCAGAGAAGAGCAACAAAGTTGATTAGGGGACTGGAGGCTAAAGCATATAAGGAACAGTTGCTGAAATTGGGTATGTCTAGTTTAACGAAGAGAAGGACGAGGGGGGACATGATAGCAGTATTCCAGTATCTCAGGGGCTGCCACAAAGAAGAGGGAGTCAAGCTATCTTCCAAAGTGCCTGAAGGCAGGACAAGAAGCAACAGATGGAAACTAATCAAGGAGAGAAGCAGCCTAGAACTAAAGAGAAACTTCCTTACAGTGAGAACAATTAACCAGTGGAACAACCTGCCTCCAGAAGCGGTGAATGCTCCAACACTGGAAGTTTTTAAGAAGAGACTGGACAGCCATTTGTCCGAAATGGTATAGGGTTTCCTGCCTGAGCAGGGAGTTGGACTAGATGACCTCCAAGATCCCTTCCAACTTTATTATTATTATTATTTTCACACTTACAACCATTTCAGCATCCCCATGATCAGGTGGTCAAAATTCAGACACTTGGCAACTGACTCATAGTTATGACGGTTGCCATGTTCCCGGGGTCGTGTGATCCCCTTTTGCGATCTTCTGACAAGCAAAGTCGATGGGGAGCTAAATTCACTTAAGACCTGCAGTGATTGGCGTCACAACTGTGGCAATACAGATCGTAAAATAGAGCAAAACTCGCTTAACAAATGTCTCACTTAGCAACATAAATTTGGGGCTCAGTTGTGAACTGTAGTATTTATGAGAGTGAAGGTCCTTCAGATATGAAATCACATGATCTGATGAATCCAGGAACAGGATGAATTTGGGGAAGGGTAGTCTCCATCCGTGTGGAAACAAATGTTCTCATCCGAGTCACATGAAATTGAATCCCATCTGACTCAGGGTCAAGCTACACAATGTTAGATACACAACAAATATTTCCGAAAAAAGCTATGCACCAAAATGACTCATTTTCATTGAGACAACAGCAAGCAGAGAAGGCAATTTTATCTCAGCCCACCCCCCACTAACAAAAATGACCCCCCAACTCCCATAGGTAGCTTTAAGAGGTATAACATCTCCCACTATAACAATAAAAGCTTTTCTACTTGCAACATGGGTAGCTATTTAATAAAAATCCCACCTGGAGAAAGAATCAAATTGCAATCTTGACAAAATGTTTTCTTCTGAACCTAGACAGGCATTTTAAAAACCAACTTCCCGTGTTTAAAATAATCTAATATTGGGCCTCTTGTAAAATCGAGGAGTCCACTGATCTGATGAACAGAGAGTTGGTCTCCTTGCCTACTGGGAGTTTAAAAGTTGCAAGAAGTAGATCAGGGGTCTTCAAATTTGGCCATTTTATGACTTGTGGACCTCAACTCCCAGAATTCCTCAGCCAGCGTGCCTGGCTGAGGAATTCTGGGAGTTGAAATCCACAAGTCATAAAAGGGCCAAGTTTGAAGACCTCTGAAGTAGATGGACTCATTCATTATTCATTGGGGAATTCTGGGAGTTGAGGTCTACATAATTTCAAGTTGCCAAGGTCGAGAAATACTGTTATAGTGTTATTCCAATTATGGATAGAGGGATTCTGAAATTTTAGCCTGAAAAACTAAAATTTTCTGCAGAACCTAGATAGTGCCCTGGCTTCTATAAAAAGTGGTTTTCTGGTGCCACATTTCCAGTTTTAAGGATAAACCATTCAGCTCAAAGGGACATTTCTTGCTGCTACATCCAGTTTTCCCTTACCAGATTAAATGCCTTCTCATCCGTTTTTCACAATAAGGATGTTTGATCAGAGATATTCTTAATGGCAGCTTTGGCTATTTTGCTTCTGCTAATCTACTCTCAGCTGAGCACAACCAACAGTATTCTTGAAATTAAACATGAGCCCTTTTTAAAAAAAACAAAAAAACTATACACAGCTAATGTTATTCTTTTTTAAAGAACATTCATTCTAGCACAGCAACTATTTCTTGAATAAGATTATATGATACGTCAAACTTGTTTGGAAATTGCCAAGACTTCTTGTTTAGATTTTACGCAAGGTTTTCCAAATGTTAACACTTTTTGAAATGCTTCTGAGAATCTGGTAACTCCTCAAGTACCAGTTTAGGTTTTTGGCCGTGCTTCTTCGTGCAGCACTTTTTTAACTGCTGCACAATTAAAAACGACTCTTTTTAGGAGCATTATTTGACGTCTAATTGCAATTTCTGACAAATCTGAGCATAACTCTCATAGCGATATTCTCTGCCCCAAAAGCCCAAGACTTTTGACGCCATCCCCTGTTGTGCGTTGATCTAAGAACTAGCTTTGTTTCTACCTAGCCCTTGAAATCTAAATAGCAAGACTTGGACCACATGTTGTTCACATGGCTTTACTCAGAGGAGATGACAATCTCCTGGCCTGCTGGATGATCTGACGAAATCTTTGCTTCTAGGAATGCAGTTAATCAGTTTTGCTGCATGGAGAAAAGAGGCACATCTTTTAAGCCTCCAAAACCACTTGCCAATTCAGCTATCCTCTCCTATAGACTAGGGAGAACTGCTTTCTGGACCAAGCAAGACATATACATGTGCACAAACATGGGATCCAAAAGAACGTTGAGGCAGAATAGGGGAGAGGCAAATACAAATAGCAGAAATCTCTAATCAGGACATGCTCTTGATAGGGTGAAAACTTGGGACTGAAACGTGACGTCTGTCTGTTCACCTGATACAAATAAGCCACAATTTCCTAAAATGTAGTTTGCTTAATTTATCCCTAACCTTAACTCTATTCACATAACCCTCAGGTTCAAAAATGGTTTGATTTGCCCTGTAGTTTGAAGCTTTGTGAGGAAGGAACTGAGAGAAACAGGATGTTTCATTTATGGATAGTTTAGGAACGCAGCTGCATAACAAAGCCCTGGCATCCTCAGGACCTGGAAAGCGGTAAATGCAACCCTCCATTTGGGCCCTGATTGGGGTAGAACACAAGTGTTCCTCAAATAGGCCTGCCCTGGATGCAGCTAAAGTCTGCTGTTGATGTTCTCCCAAGCTTTGTCTCATGTCCTGAGACACAATGCAGCTGGAAGCACTTGACGCCAGGCAGATGGAATGCTGAACTGCACCCGTCAACTTTAAATATCTAGACTTATAAGGCCCTGCGCAGTATCAAAACATACCCAGAGCTTGCAAAACAAAGTTGTGGGAAGGAAAACACTTGGGAACTTAAAAAAGAAAAGGTTAGCCGTTAACACCATGTTTTAAAATGATTGTCCCTAGTGATCAGCAGCTGAATGAAGCCCCATCTTTATGGAGGGTTCATCTGCCTTAGCCGGAAAAAAAGCAAAACAAGTTCTCTTGTAATTTGAGAAAGGTTGAAAGATTTGGAAATGTGTTGATTAGATAACTTCTAAACTTTTAGGAAGGGCTAGACAGCCAACAAAGATTTTAACTGGTTTTCCTGCACATGGAGGAAAGTTTGGCTAGATGTCCCTTGTAGCCCTTTCCAACTTCATAACTTTCTGATTATATTAGAGATAGCTGCTAACAAACTAAACCATTTCTATATCATTACAGAGAGTTAGTGGCTGCTGTGTCTTTCCAAAAATCAGTGTAAAAGGGCCATAGCTTAATAATAAAGGACCTACCGTACTTCACATACTAAAGATCTTGTTTCAGGACCGATTGATGGTCTGTGGAACGACTTGCCTCCAGATATTGTGGGTGCTCCAACACTGGATGTTTTGAAGAAGAGATTTGTCTGAAACCTTGGCTCTTTTATGACTCGTGGACTTCAACTCCCAGAATTCCTGAGCCAGCATGGCTCAGCTTGGAAACCTCTCCCTTTCTCCTCAGCATGGCTGGCTCAGGAATTCTGGGAATTGAAGCCCACGAGTGATAAAAGAGCCAATCCTATCCCTGGTATAGGATTTTCTGCTTGAGCAGCGGGTTGGACTAGATGACCTCCAAGTTCCCTTTCAACCCTGTTATTCTGTTAAGCAGCAAAAGGTTCTCAATGGTTTCCTAGTGTAAACTAATCAAGGCTTTATCTAGTGTGACTTGAGAGGAATTACATGTGAAGAACTCTGTCTTCTCTGAAGGTTGATGAACAGAACCAAGAGAGGTGCTTAAACCTGAACAAACAAGTTGGATTATCATTAAAGAATCCTGATCCGTTTTTTGCGGATTTCAATCCAGAAGGAAAGTTGAGTGTATCCTGGCAGGTTTCAGTACTTGGACTTGCTTTCTCTTGAGACCGAGCAGTTAAATTCCCAATTGCTGATAACAGTTATTGATATTGATAAGGGCTTAAGCAATTCAGTGTTTTTGTGCTGGATTATGTCCTCTCCTGTTTTCAGAATGAGGACCAAACCCAGGAACAAAGAAGCTTCCAGGTGGGTATCATGATCACGTGAAGTATTAATACCACTTTACAATGCCTTGGTAAGGCCACACTTGGAATACGGTATCCAGTTTTGGTCACCACGATGTAAAAAAGATGCTGAGACTCTAGAAAGAGTACAGAGAAGAGCAACAAAGATGATTAAGGGACTGGAGGCTAAAAGCATATAAGGAAAGGCTGCTGGAACTGGGTATGTCTAGTTTAATGAAGAGAAGGACGAGGGGGGACATGATAGCAGCGTTCCAATATCTCAGGGGCTGCCCCAAAGAAGAGGTAGTCAAGCTATTTTCCAAAGCCCCTGAAGGCAGGACAAGAAGCAACGGATGGAAACTAATCAAGGAGAGAAGCAACCTAGAACTAAGGAGAAACTTTGCTTTAGGGTTTATAATAGGACATGAATCCAGAGTTAATTTTCCAAGTGCCTCTGAGGTATATATGATGTTTCACCCAGCATTAGCTAGATACTGATGTTAAAATTGTCCTGTTTCTTGTAGGGCAAGGAAGTTTTAGCAGGTTGAGAAATGTGAAGCCATGATTCTGGTTTTAGCTATTGCGCCTGTCAGGGACGGTGAGTGATGGTTCTATTCTCACAACTGCTGTCCTTCCATGTTTGGGGTTCTAAGCTGGAAAATACACCCGTTTTGTGAAAGGTTCTCCATCCTGCTGGAGGTGGCTTTATTCTGAATGGCTCTCTGAACATTCCCAGTTCAATCTCTCTTGCTTTGCTGAAATGTGCTAAGGTATAATTTGTGCTTGACTGCTTAAAATGGTTGGGATGTTGTAAGCCAGAAAGCACAGCTTGCTCGTTTTCCCTGCTGCATTAACAGCTGCATCTTGGAAGGGGAAACTGGTATAGATAATAATAATAATAATAATCTATATAAATAAAAATGTAAATGTTCGTTTGTTCAAAATCTTAAATCTCCGAAAGTTCTTCATCGATTGCTTTGAAATTTTGACACAATGTTGCATTCGAACACGCGCGTGTTTTTATATACCTATATTATATAGATGTCACACCTGTGACATCTAAAAACATGCTTTTTTTGAAAAACAGCGCCATCTGTTGGACGTAAAAGCAACACACGCTTTTACCAGACTGAGCCACAGCAACGCGTGGCCAGGTACAGCTAGTAGTAATAATAATAATTAATAATAGGAACTGCTTCCATCCTGTGATGATATCTGTAATACCATCAAACATCCACATCTGCCTTGGTAAGGACTCGATAGGTAGACAAAAATGCCAAATCCAGTCTGAACATCTGGCTGACTGTGCGATGATCAATAATAATAAAAAATAATAATGTTGGGAGGGACCTTGGCAGTCTTCTAGTCCAACCCCCTGCTCAGGCAGGAAACCCTATACCATTTCGGACAAATGGCTGTCCAGTTTCTTCTTAAAAACTTCCAGTGTTGGAGCATTCAGAGCTTCTGGAGGCAGGTTGTTCCACTGGTTAATTGTTCTCACTGTCAGGAAGTTTCTCCTTAGTTCCAGGTTGCTTCTCTCCTTGATTAGTTTCCATCCATTGCTTCTTGTTCTATACTTGTCATCTACTTGTTCTATACGGTGCTGTCCTTGAAGATTACCCGGAACATTCAGCTTAATAAGAAAATATCAGCATGCACGCTAGGTGCTCAGTTACAGTACTGCCCTGTTATTCTCATAACATAACTGCTATGTTAAAAAAAAACCTGTATCAATTGAAAATTCCCATATGTCCCAACATATCTTCATGTTGTCATTTATAAAACTAATAAAAACCTGCCAGTGCTAGTGTAACTGTTTCCTACTGTTTTTTTATGCATGTGGATTTTATCAGAGAACTTGTCAAGCAGGGCAAACAAATCTCACCCTATCATTTTTCAAGCAAAAAATGATCCAGATGTTTCCACTGGTGGACCGTGATTGACTTGCCTGCTAAGAGCAGATCACCAATAACCTTCTTGCTTCATAACTACGTATTCTTTCAACAGAACGTATGCAATAAGCAAGCCAAAGTTGGGAAGAAGTCATTCTTTTGATTACGGCATCACTTTGTCAAAGACCTCCCTCAAAATTCTGAGGCTTTATGATCCCTCCAGGGATGAAAATAATCCTTTTTTATTCCTTCTCCAACATCTTGTAGAAGAGTTATGTGGTGCAGAGAAGATTCTTGCCGTTGTTAAAAGCCTATGAGATCTTCAGCTATAATTCCTGCATTGAAGTGGAGAAGAACTTCCCAGGGCCTTACAAGGGTGGCCAAATTGCGTCACCCAATTGCTTGTCTAAATCTAAGCTCCCCAGACTATTTCATGCTTAGGATCCAATCTGGGTCGGTCACCGGAACCGGACGTTTTGTCTTCCGAGCGTTGGGACTAGTGCTGGAGCCCACACGCAGAACAGCACACACTCTGCTAGAGAGAAATTCCCCAAGGATGGGCTCCAGAAGGAGTCCCAAAGCTCCGGTGACCGATCCGGGTTGGATCCTGCAACATTATCCTGGGACACGCAGATTCGCCTTCATCGTTATTTCATGCTCAACGCAAGGAAACCTAGACGGATTTCAGTCTAATTACGAGTACAATTTCTATATAATATGTTTGGGTTGTGCAAAATAACAACTCCTAAAAACTGGGCCACAGGAAGTTGACAAGTTACATTACCCTCTTTGTAAAAATGACTTTGTGTTTTGTGCCTTTACGTCCGTGTCGCCTTCTGGACAAGTTTCTGCAGTTTTCTGGGCAATATCTTTGGAAGCGGTTTGACCTTCTTCCTAGAGCTTAAAGACAGGGACTGGTCCAAGGTTCCTCCGCCCCCCCCCGCCCCCTGCTAGTTTTGTGCCTAAGGTGGGACTAAAACTCCGTGTGCAATTTCTAGTCTAGTGCCTTCAAGTATTATAGCAAACTGACT